TGAACTATATATGTAATAATATATACAAACACAATAGCCATGGTTAATTTTATGGTTCTCCACTTCTTAATTCTGGACATATTTTCCATATAAGTACAAACATTGGAGACAGATTCAACTACAGGGATTATAAAAGCCGATGTAAATTTAACGTCTTTATTTTCGTAGGTATTCATCTTATCAGACGACACATATTATGGTTTATACACCAACAATTCGTCCAGTATTAATAAAGTAAATCATGATTGTAAATAATAAAAGTATAATAATTATATTTTTTTTTTTTGATTTTAAGATTTATTTAAATACGTTTATAAAATCATTTTAATTATTCCACATTTCGTCTAATTATAATGATAATAATGTAATATTAATTAAATAATTGAACTAAATATAGTTTGTTTTTGAGTCTATATAGAGCAAACAAAGAAACATCAATTAATCATTTTTATATAACATAATAAGGGTCRTAATATTTTATTGATTGGCAATATATGTATGCGTTATATGCGTTATTTTATGTGCAAATCGTGTTATATATAGATAGATATAACGTAGGTATATGAATATTATAAATTTTTACTATGAATTAATTTTAAAATGTTCAGAATTTTGACGAAATTTGTCAAAATTCTAACTTTGGACGCTYATAACACGCACAAACAGCGTTTGAGATTTGTGGATTAATTTTAGATTTTAAAAGGAGCGATTAAAAACGAACACTGGGTTTTTATTTGAGGAGGGATTACAGATTTCTCAACTTCCCTTACACAATTCCTTCAACAAGTACGACTAATATAATCATTATTTTCTATAAATCAAAAAATAATTTTCAACGGATTAATTAATTGGTATTGGACAAACGTTATCATGTAGAACAATTAATGAGTATCACATAATAATAAAATTTGGAAAAAACATCATCATTCGTCATTGTAATACTCGTATGCAACAAAACAATTATATACCATAATAAAGTATACCCAGTGACGGTGCGAGAGAATGGGGGGCAATCGGGGCAGTTGCCCCGGGCCCCGCGATTTTAAAATTATAATCAAGGCCCCGCAGTTCTTAAATGATATTTTATACTGTTCAGAGATTGCCCCGCAAATCCTAGCGCCGTTCCTGAGTAGGTATACCTATAGGCTATAATCTAATATAAAAATATTCTTTAGAGAGTGAGCTTTAGCCTCAAATGTCACCCTTTGAACGTGYGACTAAAATATATTGTTGTGAATTGGTTTTWTGATGATGTGTGTTTTTCTTTATTAATAATAATTTCTATAGTAGGAAAACCATATTAATTTTCAACTTCAATATCTCTTCTGGTATGAAAGTAAATCTAGTTGGTACTTTAAGGAGATCAAAATTAAAAACTATCAGTACTTTTAGAATAAGCGGAGAAAAAAGAATTTAAAAAAAACAAGAATTTAAAATCAAAATTAGTTTTCGACAAAATTAATTTTATTATTTTGTTTTTAAAGAAAATAAATAACAATAAGTATAAAATGTTAACCAAATGTTTGAATTAGCATTTTACAGCATGTAAAAGCATATTTATTATGTTCATAGATGATATTTTTTAAATAGTTTCACTTTTATTGAGCTATTTATAGCCTAAATTTTTTTTTWAATTTTGTTCAATAATTTTTTTGTAAAAAWATTTGGCCGAATTAAAGAACTTGAAATGTATTACAAGGTTCCTCATAAGTTTTTATTATTTATATCCGATGGGTGCATGCCCATTTTCTACTAAATATTATATTCCAATTCCCCCAAAAAGAAATTAATATGTTATTCAAGAAATGTTTTGAAAACCCCAAAACCCTAATCCATCAAATCGTAATGATTACGAATTACGATTACGTAACAAACCTCACCTATATMATATCAAGTTATTTTATTTTATGAACTGGGAACAGTGGAACAKACACTTTAGAGAGTATAATACGAACWAAGTCCCGAAATAAAGTTTTATAGAAGGAAATCATAATAAAATATATTTATAGGTATTAGTATATATAGGTACGGTCGATGTTTACAGTATACGGCTTAGTTATGTTTTTTGAATAAAAATCTTTAAAAAAATGTTTTTTATTTTCTACATAAAAAAACATTGTTTAAATAATAATAATAAWACATATTTTTAAAGTCACAGTATGACCATTTATTTAAAAGAAATTTATTTTAGCTTATGATATAGCGGTACATTATAKGTACTAGATTTTTGGATGTGATGATCGTGATATACTTATATATTAGGTACCTACCTTTTATTTCTATACTTAAAATCTTACATTGCGAAACTTTATGAAATTGTTTAGCTGATCTGCCTTGCAAGATAATTTACGCGCAACAGTGCAACACATTAGGCATGTCACGCGCGTATAATATTTTTATCTATAGTATATA